ATTTAAATAGGCAGTTTGATTGGTTTCATTATGCCATCAAGCTGCTTCTGTGTTCACATGCTTTATCAAAAATGAATACCATTTACTCACCTTGATGCTTGAATTTTGTAAATGAAATTGGACATGAGCAAAGGTTGTGCAACTTATTTATTTGCGAGCTTGGCCACCATTGTCTCCATCCACCCTCCATTAATGTCCATTTTGAGCAAGAAAAATAGTTTTAAATATCACTTCTGAGAAATTTTTCAACCTTTGTGTCAGTAAATTACATGCATAACACATATTCAATTTATTCTCAACGTGGAAATCTGCTTTCTTTATCCTAAAGTGTTAGACTGCCAGTGAATAAAAGACTAGGAATATAAAATAGGCTTAACCCCTCAAACTGCTTGTGCTACAAACAAACTAGTGTGTTTATGACTACATTCAAAATAAAATATTAATATGAGAAATTTTGATTTGTTAGTTAAAATTTCAATGCAAGTGAATGAGACACATTTAGGTTGGTTAAAGGTTGCCATTACACAACACATTTGAGCTATTAAACAATGGCTGCACAGCCTGATCTTACGAGAAAGCGTAAGTATTTTACATTTTGTAAGTTTAGTGGCGAGTGGTGAGTTCAGTTGTACGCAATTGTACGATTTTAAAAAGGAAGCGTGACACCTAACCCCACTCCTAAACCCAACCGTCATTGGGGGATGAGCAAATCGTACTAAATTGTACGAATTAGATAGTACGAATTAGCCACTAAATCAAAAAGTTGGTGACGCAGTGGCGCAGAAGGTAGTGCTGTCGCCTCACAGCAAGAAGGTCGCTGGTTCAAGCCTCGGCTGGTTCAGTTGGCGTTTCTCTTTGGACTTTGCATGTTCTCCCTGCATTTGCATGGGTTTCCTCCAGGTGCTCCGGTTCTGGATAAGTTGGCGGTTCATTCCGCTGTGGCAACCCCGGATTAATAAAGGGACTAAGCCAAAAAAAATGAATGAACGAATGAATCAAAAAGTTACGAATTGCCGTGAGATTGTGTTGGGGTGCACCATTCTTACAGTATGTTAAAAATTCAAGTGGATTAGGGACAAAGAAAGAAAACATGACATCTATTAAAATGAGCATTAGCTAAAGATATATATATATATATATATATATATATATATATATATATATATATATATATATATATATATATATATATATATATATATATATATATATATATTTTTTTTATTTTTTTTTTTTTTTTTT